CTGTTTTCTGATGTCCAGGGTCAGGTCCAATAGAAGCAGCTGTGTCTGTGTGTGTGGCAGGAGATGGAGCATCTGAAGGTTGCTTCTCTGGAGCTGTATTGGATGCACCTGGACTTGACAAGATGTAGGAAATAAGATTAAGAACACTTGGAGAAAAAAGTTTTTTTTTTAAGATGTGCGGGGCACCGTCTCGCCGAAAAGGAGAATGCCACGCTCAGGATTCTTCTGACAGCAGTTTTATTGTTACAGCTCTTTTAGTGTTACAGCTCTCTTAGATGGTAGTGTTACAGCTCTCTTAGATGGTAGTGAGGCGACGGACGCCAAGCCCCAAAAGCTTATGGCTTATATAGAGCTTTAGGAGACGTGCCACACACTCATTGGCTCTTATGATGTCGCCAAATTAGCATACTGGTTTTCGCGCCTTGCGCAGGCACACATTCAAGCAAGGCTCGCAAGAAGAACCAGGAAGCAGGAAACCGGCGCCATCTTGCGATGGCGGACGCGGGTCCTAACAAAGATGTACATTTGAAACCCAGAGGGATCCCACCCTTTATTATAGGTAGTAAGTAGGAATTTTAGGCAGATGTACTTATCTGGATGGTATCCATGAGAGGTAGAAATGAGTGGGTTTCCTGTAGCTTATAAGTTTACAAAAGAGATAACAGCATGAGTTACCAACACAAGTAGTCTTTCAACTGAGATTAGGTAATGAGGTAACAGATAATATCTTTGAAAACTTAGCTGTCAATGTAGTCAGAAGTATGGTAAAGAGTAAACAATCTACCAGTTATATATTATTTTTTAAAAAATGACAGAGTCCACTAGCCAACAGTTCCCGTGGTTTCTATAGTCTCTTGGGCGAAGTCAGTCTTGCTTCTAAGAGCAGAAGCCGCAGGGCTTTTTTCTGTGGAATGGGTACACATGATATGAGAAATGACTTACCTTTATTTAGCCAAGTCATTTGACTCAGGACGTCCCGTTGTGTTTGTCCACATGCAATCTAGGCTGTATGTTCTAGGAGTCCAGTGTCCAGGTCTTCTGAAACCATCTTGGGCTAACTGTTAGAGGCTTTGGGCATTCTGTCAGCCATAAACTTAAAATATATAATTAGCAGACTTCTGACAAGATTGAGAGCCATTAGGATTGGTTGTAACTGAATAGA